AGCCTCCTCTAGGTGACCCTGCTTCGGCAGGGGGTTGGACTAGGTGACCCACAGAGGTCCCTTCCAACCCCTACCATTCTGTGATAACATAGAGACTTGCAGGCTTAGCACCAGTGTGTTTTTTCAGCACAGAGTTTATTGCGTGTCTGGATCCAGTTTTTCCAAGTTCAGGAAGATGCTAGTCCTACTAACATAAAAACACCCCCGCCCCACGATATCCCTTCCAACCCCTACCATTCTGTGATAACATAGAGACTTGCAGGCTTAGCACCAGTGTGTTTTTTCAGCACAGAGTTTATTGCGTGTCTGGATCCAGTTTTTCCAAGTTCAGGAAGATGCTAGTCCTACTAACATAAAAACACCCCCGCCCACAGATACTTCGTTTGTAGGCTCTCTGAGCTGGCACAGGTAATTTGGCTCATAGATAATTACATGTTTAGAAGTAGTTGGTTTAGGTAAGTAATAATAATTTTAAAACCAAAATGCATTCCTGTTTGCATCAAGCAAGCAACTGCCTGGCCTAATGGTCGGCTGGCTGTCGCTGTAGTAGTTGTTTTTGCAAAAATAGCTGCCTTTTGGGTAGACGGAGCTTTTCACACCGTGTGCAGATCGGGTGCAGGCTGGCACGTCACGCAGTTCTGCTGTGCGGTAACTGCAACATCCGCAGGGCAGTGATGAGGAGTATGGGTGTAGAAGTTTAAGTACAGCGCTGACTATTTAAGCTGGAAGTTACTTTTGCATCGATTTCCCTTCTGTGTCTCCCATCACCAGTTGCATGTCGCTTGGGAAACCAGGGGAAAGCAGTCTTTGCACTAGACTTTCTACATAAAACTTAGTGATAACGTAGTGAGGTAAAGGAGGAAAAAGCAGTGATGATCATGGTTTAAAAGCAAACATAAATAACTCAGTTATGGACAGCTTTCTGTTTTATCAGTGTGAGGTGTTAAAAAAAACAAGTATCACACTGTTGCTCATCAAACTGGACTAACAGCATTAAAACATACTTTGTGATGGATGTGTGTATGAGGGGAGAGGTTAAAAAAAGGGCTGCAGGAAACAATGTTTTAACTATAAATTAACCCTGTAGCCATTCTAGTAGTATGCATTGTAGGTGATTGGAGAGAAATTGCAACAGAAAGTTTGTCTGCTAATCCAGGAAAGCATTAAAGTGATGTTTTGAATCACAACCTTTAATCTGTTGTGCCGAACATCCCATGTTGTGATTCTAGATAACCACTGAAATGAATTGATTTTATGGAGTAGATAAAAGTCGTAATAAGCGTTTGAATTGTCTTGCAGTTAACCTTCTTCAGCAGTCTGAAAAAAATGAGAATAACAAATGAGAAGCTGATGAATGAAATCTCAAGTCAACCAAATGATACGGATGTGAGTCACTGATGCTGGATATTATTTATATATATATATACACACATACAGATACTTGTCTTTGTTTCCCTTCTCATGATAGGATTAATCGGGACATGGAGCATACCGTTGCTTCTTGTGTCATGGATGTGCTCTGAGCTAGTTAGGGAAGTCACTCCACATAGATGTTGCTACTGCATTTTCATCTGTTCTTATGTTCTCGTGCTTCTAGATGGTGCTGAACAATGATGCAGAGATAATTGCACTGGAATTTGGAGAAATTTTCAAAACTCTGGAAATGAAGAAACGGCAATTGCTAGAAGATGTTGAAAATCAAAGAAGTAAAAAAGAGAAAGAGTTTCAAATTTGGAAAAAAATGAAAGAAACTCACAAGAAGACCATTGAGAATTTTTTGAAGGATTGTGAAAAGCTTGTGCATGAATGTGATCCTCAGCGTTTCCTGGAGGTGATGGCCTTTCTCTTATCATTTAATATCAGCTGTATGATGAACCTCAAATGTCATATAGAGCCTGCTGTATTGCAGATCGTGATAATGAATGGATCAGGATTCTAAACCGTGCTGTCAACTTTGCACAAAAGTGTGCAATGGAGATAAAACATCCTATTCAAAGCTAGCTTAGGTACTTCTGACATA